GGTTAATTGCTAGACTCTTTAGAACACTTTTGTTTCACTTCTTTGAAATCTTCCATTTGTTTAAGCTTCGTAAACTCCTCTAATCAAGGTAGTGCAGAAATATCTGTCTAAAAATGAGATTTCTGAGTGCTTGTGTGAAGTTGACTATAACAGGTGTTCCTTAACTCCCTTAGTTCATATTCATTGAAACTCCTTATTTAAGAAATTTGATTTAACTTGTAATTGTTTGGCTAGCTGAATTCAGCTTTATTGTACATGTATATCTTTATAATTGCCTTTGTTTGGCTAGCTGAAGGATTCATATCATCACAAAGTCTTCGACTTGACAACCACAGTAGAGCAAACATCGGATTGTCAAATACCCAATCAATGTCATGGTTTGAATGTAATATATTCATTAAGCCAGAGCTTTCGAGTTTCCTCTATAACCAATTGCTTTAGCGGAATAGATCAGCTTTATTTTATACATATATATATTCTAGGTATATGGATTCTATTTATTAAGCTCATTGAGGAGATCCTGTTATAGTCCCAGTGTCTGTTGAAGGTCAGAAAATCTCATCGTTAGAGTTCAATTCCCAAACAAATGGCCTAAACTAGATTCACCTACATGACCATTCCATCTAAGAAGATTATGATCATCATTGAACGTCATTAACAGAAGTAGAAACGAATTATTTTTGTAATCTCATGTGCTAGTTGCCCCATTTTGTCCACTCCTAACACATACCTGAATGCCAAGATGATTAACTGTACATGCGAGGAAAGAGTTAGCTTGGTTTTTTCAAGAGAAGGGTATGGATTCTGGTGCATATTTAGATTAGGATCAAGGGATCCTTGTTTTTCAATGGTTCAATCTTGTTATTTGTCAAATATTTATAACCTTAATTATTGAAAAACTTTTAATTAAAATGATATTCAAAGAATTTCAAGATTGAAATTTGCTCATTATTCATTTACTAAGAAGGAAGCATTTTATTTAAAATGTTCAAACGTCAAGTGACTTACAAACATTTACACGTAGATAGAAAAAAAAGTTCAAACAAGATGACATGCATGAAAATGCGCATGAAAATGCAATAAAACTCCTTATGGATGCCCCAACCAACTCCTGACCAGAATGCCCCCATCACACATTGAACATCAATGCCCCTTGAATCAATCAGATCTTGGACCTTGTGCTTCAATGCCACACAGTTCTCAGTGGTTGTGCCCTGAGCTCCCAATATGATAGCTGCATATGGCGTTAATATCATGGCCTTCAGAATATGGGGCTTCCCTTGGTTTGAATTGAACTGGAGTCACAAGGTTCTTCTTAACTAGCTTTGGGAGCAATTCCTCACATGTCATCAGAATTGGATTGATGCGAGATGCCCTACATTGTTTATTATGGTAGGAAGGTTCATGTTCAAGTGAACATCTTGTACTCAATGTCTTAAGGTTTTATTGGTAGAAAAATGTTGGTTTTACGTCTAAGATGATGATAGTATGACTTTATTGGCTCAATGAAAGGTACGTGTATGAGTTTTGGGTCTAAAAAAAGATAAAGGTAATATTTCAAAGTCTCAACGATGAATAATGTTAAAATTTAATCTTTTGGTAGTGACCATGAATTATTTCAGGTAAAAAATCAAGAGATTTTATTTTGGGGTTTTGGATGGTATAAGAAAGGTCTAATCTTTCCATATATCAAAAATATATAATTCTTGAAGAACTAAAAGAATATATAATTCATTTGATATTTGAAGAACTAAAGATTAAAATTTGTTCAATTATTCAACCTTAGAAGGTAGCATAAATTCAATCATTAAGATTAAAATATTTAAGCACATATTAAAGATATTACAAAAACGAGTTCAAACAAAACAATCTCTACAAATGCAAATGATAAATGTAATGCCCCCATCTTTCTTTGATTGTCTATGCCCCTAAATTCATCAGGTTCTGGATCTTGCGCTTTAGTGCCTTACAGTTCTCAGTGGAATGTCTGGAGCTTCCTATGTGGTAATTGCACACAACTTCAACATCAAAAACCTCATGCATCGGAGACTCTTTTCTTAAATCATCCTGGAAGGTTCAATACTACAACCAGCCGAACAAGCTCCCATCGTACTGATGTCAGCTTCTTTTATCTATTCACAATGTGGTAACGTGATCAGGATCACTTCCATCGACTTCTCCATAAATTGATCCCATGTTTTTATGAATGATGCATGTGAAAATGCTTAAAAATAAAATGCAGATGCAAAATGCAAAGATGTAAATGCATATGCAAAAATGTTGATCCCAACGATGAATATCATAGAACAATTTTCACCAGAAATAAAAGCTTTTACACTACAAGACAGTCCCTTTTACAGACTTGCTTTCGCTTAGATATTGAGTCTGGAATGGATCACTACTTCATCTCGGATCTTTGTCCTCGAAAACGATGCCCCTTAAGTGTTTTGTAATCTGACTCCATTAATGCCCCGGTGATGCTGAAGTTAGTGCATCGCTCCTTGATGCTTAGAGATGAAATTATCGTAGATAAGACTCAACTGTTGGATTATTCCTCGGATCAATGGATCACCGTTTCAGTCTCGAATACTGCACGATCTTCAAGCAAGTCTCATTCTGAAATCTCTAAACTTCTTTTAACCTTCGGTCCATGTCTATGTACTTGACTTCTTGGTTGAAATCTTTTATCTCTTCTTGTAAAAAATTTATCTCGAGTATCCCTTTACGGATCAACACTCTTGGATTATGTTATGATGATGCAATGCAATGCAAAAATGATGATGAGTGATATAAACAAAAGAAAAGAAATAAATTAGTATACACAAACAAAAGAATTGAAATAAGTTAGTACATGTAAGACAATAGATACATATAAAAATGTTACTCAAAGATGAATATAACACCTATCCCATCATGATATCTACCTGAACATGCTTTAATTAAATAACATTCCTACTCGGACATGTTATCTACCCAAAATGATTATTTTCAAGAAATTAGTCTTAATCGCTTGGTATCTAGTTCGCATGCTTTTATTCGAAAAGAAAATTTAAAGCAAAAGGAAAGGTTTAGAAATGATCCTTCTTTGTGTACACTTACTTTGGGTACCTACTGTCGTACAGAGGTTCAGTATGACTATACCTAGGGTGACCGTTCTACGGTTCACTATATGCATGGTTTCGGCTATATCAGGAAAGAGTACTCGAATTGTCCTTGATGTCGGTGCCCCTTGGGCTGTCAGACCCTCAATCCTCACCCATTACAGGTTTCGAACGGAACAAGTTCAATTCTAGGGGATTCACTACCTTATACCCATACGAGGAATAAATCCCTACGAAGGTATAAGGTATGTATCACATGGGTTATTTGCTAAAACTCATACAAAGAATAAATTCTTACGAGAGTAAAGCATTCACCCCAACTTAATTGGAACGAAGCTCGTGTCTAGAGCTTATGTTATGAAAATGCATGTGATGTGTGTGAAGAGGAACAAACCTACCTTTGACTCAAAAACGGAAAAGAAAAAACTCGACAAAAAAACATGGAAAAAGCTGAAAAATAAAATTCAAATGCTAGTATGACAATTAAAAATGAAGCAATTAAAACTTCAATAAACGAATCATAAGTTAACTAAAGACTCGAACTCACGATTTCCACCACTACGACAATGTGTAAACGACCTATAGTCTGAGTCTCTAAAAAAAGTCCCCAGTGGAATCGTCAATATGTCATAACCATTTTTTTTGAAAAACAATTAAATATTATTTAAAAAAAAAAGATTATGACTTTATTTGGAAAAATTGGGTGATTTGTATTAATTTGAATTAAATTAGATAGAGTCGCCATCGACCTTTGGGTTAGGCATGTCGAATACCTAAAAACGTTTTTTAAAAATAATTTTAAGAAAAATCCCTTTTTTAAACAAACAACTGGCCTGTGTTTATAAAGATTCAATTAAAACAGGTTTGAGAGTCGGTTACATGTGGGGAAGAATTAGCACCCCACAGTGCCCAAAATTGGTACTGTGTCGCTTACACATTGTTGTAAATGGTGGAAATTAGGAATCGAATATAAAGTTAAAATATGATCCGTTTATCAAACAATGATTAATTTTCTTCGAATTAATAAATTAGAGAAAATTCTTTAACTTGAAAAGAAATCTCGAAATTAACAATCCTCTATCGGGAAAGCTAACTCGACTATTTTTTATCAGTAAAAGAATATTCTCTCATAATTGATTTTAAAAAATGTGAATCGAATATAAAAATGAAAATCGATATTTGCATAAAAATAAATCTCTATTTAGTAATATTCATCGCGTTGTTCAACTTAAAATAAAAAGAATTAATTAGCAAAATAAAATCTATTTTATTTCAAGTGCACATTTGTTCGAATGTCATATCGGATTGTACCATTTTGATCAAGTGATACTTTCCACGTCTGTTCTACAAATACGTGTTCTTGAAAATTCGAATATTTCATCCATGGATAAAATGCAATGAAAATAAATGTAATAAAAAATACAAAATAACATGTTTACATTAAATGGAACTAAAAACATTACTTACATAATACACATAACCATAAAATATGTAAAATACATTCATACATAAATGACTAAAATAAAAATAAGTAAAAATTACAAACCAAAATAAAATACCAAAAATAAGCATTTAAGGTACTAAAATATGATTAACAGAAATTTAAAGGACTAAATAATAAATACATAAAGTTAAATGACTAAAGTGGAAAAAACTAAAACTTAAAGGGCTAAAACAATAAAAATTGAAACTTAAGGTCTAAATAGTAAATACAGACATTTAAAGGACTAAAATAGAAAAAATAGAAACTTAAGGGACTAAAATGGTATTAACAGAAACTAAAAGAGCTAAACATTAATTACAAGATAAACCAGAGCCCAAGTCACAAATGTTAAATAATACAAGCACCAGAAATATAAATAACCCATAAATAATATACAAGACTAAAATAAAATAAACCAGAAACATAAAGTAGCAAATAATAATTAAACCAACTACTAATATGGTGGCCAAAATATGAATGTTAAAGAAAATATCATGATTCATGAAATCAGTGACTAAATCATAAATATCGAAAGATAAATTCCCAAAGTAAAATATCATATATTTTATTAATGACCAAAATAACATATTACAGATGAGAAGGGACCTAGAATGCAATTAACCCAACCACTGAAAACACACAGAAGGTCCCTTCTAAACGACACCATTTCATTGATAATATATAAGCCCAACCAAATGGCTTTTCTTCCCTAACTTCTCATTTGGCTTAGTGCCTTTAAACAGAGGAAGAGAGAGAATAAAAATTTTCTCTCAACTCCTCATCGGAGACGGGAGGAACCGCCGCCCACCGGCTCTGTTTCACGGTGGCCTACGACAGCTGGAGGAAGTAAAAAAATCCCAGAACACTCTCCTCCTCACCCTTAACCCAAATATTAAACCCTCTTAAGCCACTGAAAGCCATAGATCTAGAGTTGTACCTTTTGAAAGATCTGGAAAACGATGACCTTTGGGGCTTCCACGGCTTCAAACCAAGGTGAGATCTCTCTCTATTTTTTCTTCAGTTTTGGTGATATTTTCGGTTTCTTTTTTTCTTTTTTTTGGGTTCTCTTTTTTCAATTCTCTCTATATTTTTCTTAAACCCCGAATGGATTTTTCTTTTCTGTCTTCTCCCCCTTATGAATGGTCTTCTCTATCTGAATCCCTGATTGCATGTCAATTCCTCTGATTTTTTTGCTGCCAACGAGGAGATAAGGTAGTGGCATAACTTAAATCTCTTTTGGGATATCTTTGGTACTTGTCTCCATTTATTTTTATTTTTCTCTCTAACTTGGATTGATTTTTCTGACATTTGTGGTGGTTATCATTGTTCGATGAGTTTCAGTCACTGTGTGGATAAGAACGACTCGATGACGGCGGTGGCGAGGGGAAACTTGGCTGGGAATCTGCATTGTCACTGCTAGCGGAGGCTGAGCTGGAAGAAAATTAGGGTTGAAACCCTAATATGGGTTACTTGGGCCGTTGGATCAAATCTGATCCAACAGTCATAGAGAGAGGCGGCTGAAGCAAAAAGTAAAACCCTAATCTATTAGGTTGTCTAGTAGGCCGGTTCGGGTTTCGGGTCGGTTGAACCAGCTGGGTTTTAGATCATGTGTTACTGGGTCTTGGGTGTATTGGGCATGCTTGGTTGTTTGGCTGATGTACTGGGCCTCGGGTAGGCTGAGTAGCTTGTAATTGGGGCTCAGTGGGCCTACACAAAAATGTACAATTGTAATACTAATAATAATAATAATAAAAAATAATAATAACAAAATTAATATTTATAATATAATAATAATTTTAGTAGACCCGAACAAAAACGAGTGTCTACATATATAATACTAATATTATCATAAAACTTATTATAAAAAATCCTAGTTGTCTATCTCTAAAGAAATCTTTAAGTCATTTATTCTCTTTTTTTTATTCTTAGTTGATATGTGACGGCACCTACTTTTGTATTTGTTATTGCCGTCGACATTTATTATTTTTCCTTTCATTTTTATATCATATTTTATTTTTTTTCTTTATTTCTTTACTTTTTAATAATTATGACTTTATAACACATTTTTCTACTTTTACGGTTCGTTTTTAGTAATAGAGATAAATCTTTTAAAATCAAGAATTTTATGTGAATATATATATTATCATAGTCCAAGTTCAAAACTAGAAGTTATTTCATCAGATATAGAGATAGTCTTTTAACTGAGGAAAGATTATATTGAACCATTAAACTATTATAAGAAAACGAGTAGTATAATATAAAATGAGAATAAAACGTACATCATTTTACTATTTATCAATACTAAAATAGAAAATAATAAATAAATTTTTCATTCACTTAGACTCAATTATCGAGTTAAAATCGGGTTGAAGTTCTTTTCAGATCGGATATAAGTAAACTAAATTCGAGTTGCTTTCAGTTTTGGTTACTTTCGGTTCGTGTATTTTCGATTCGGGTTACTTTCAGTATGGGTTGCTTTCGATTCTAGTTGCTTTCGGTTCGGGTTAATTTTGGTTCGGATTGCTTTTAGTTCAGGTTAATTTCGGTTCGGATTGTTTTCTATCGAACTAAAATTTGGGTCGTTTTGATTTGATTCGGGTTATTTCTAGTTTCAGATCAATTTTGGGTCATCTTGTTCGGGTCTATAGCAGGTCTCATCGGGTAAATCGGTTTGGGTAATCAGGTATGGGCAGGAGATGTAACACCCTTAACCCGTATTCGTACCCGAATACAAGTTAAGAATGTCACGCTTTTTGTATAATAGTTACTGTTTGAAAACGGTAAAAATTTTGTTTCTTATAAAATTTCCAAATTTAACCATTTAGAATCAGACTATTTAACCACATATAATCATAATGTAATATTTTTTTCCACTTTACATTCGATCTCGCATAGTATATGCGCAGTTTAATACTATTTCATATCATAATATAAAACTGTCCAATTTAAAACTTAACTGATTAATATTTATAATACAATATTTTACTACCATCATATATAACCATTTAGTATCTTATCATATTTTCACCTTTCTTTATTTCTTATACTATATCATTTCCCGTTTGAGCACAATTTCTAGAATTTTCTTTTTACAACACTATACATAATATATCTGTAACATCTATAATCAAATTTATTCTAAAACAGGTTTTTTTTTGTTGTCTACCACCACATGACCTCCCACTGACAACAACTTTTATTATATTATCTTCATTACACAAATATACATATCATTCGTATGTAAATTCAAACCAATATAATTCATAGTCTATAACCATTCAATGTAGTTTACAATATGTTTATAACATTTTACTGTAAAATGTAATAATTAAAATTGTATCGTTCCTTATCATATACTTACTCCTTTTCATGTATCAATCCTTTCACTATATTATTATTTTTCCTGTATCACTCCTTTCACTGTATTGATCCTTTTCCTGTATGGATTTTTTTACTGTATCTTTTCTTTTATTACACAATTTCTCTTACTGTATTGTATCTTTTACTGTTTTATATCTGATGTTGTACTGTTTTCATATAATATATCATGTATTGTACTATTTCTTTAATTTCTTTTTACAGCCCATTACATAATCATGAGAATGTATGATACATGAGTCATATGAGTGATTTGTACTGTATACAATTATCACTCCACTTAGTGCACCACAAAGGTACATGAGTCATATGAGTGATATGTATTACATTCAATTATCACTCCACCTCATGCACTACAAAGGTACATGAGTCATATGAGTGATCTGTATTGTATTCAATTATACCTCATGCACCACAAAGTTACATGAGTTATATAAGTGATATGTACTATATTCAGTTATCACTCTACCTCACGCACCACAAAGGTACATGAGTCATATGAGTGATCTGTACTGTATTCAATTATCACTCCACCCCATGCACCGCAAAAGAACATGTGTCATATGAGTGATATGTACTTGTTCACTCTACCTCTTACATCATTGACCCTCATGTCTTATACAATGGGCTTTTATTTATGTCTTATATCTTTATTAATATAAAACATTTAAAGAATAATTATCAACTTCAGACATTATTTTAACATATATTAATACTTTAATTAACTTAATAATTAATGTTAATATAAATGTTTTAAAAATATTATTAACGAATATTCGATACTAATTTTTTTATTAAATCGATACTAACAAATTTTTTACAATCATTCACTTGACTTTTCAACATTTCACATTTAACCACTAGTAAACTTTTCTTTCAATTATAAATCTAATATTTAGTATATATACAAATTAGTTCCTAAATATTCAATTTAAATCCATATCAACTATTTTTACATTATATTAAATGTAATACATTAACTTTACCCAATTGTCTTTTCAAAACCAACTTTCCTAAAACTTACGAATTTGATCTCTATCTTATACAACTTTTCACATTAAACCAAATCCCAATTTAACTATTCAAGTCCATCTAATAATTATTTAGACTTTACACATTATCTTATACACAATTTCAACTTTAATCCCTAATTTATCCATATTTATAATTTTATTCTTTATTCTTCTAAATTTGATTCTAAATCCATAATATCATAATTTCAACCATAAGTTAAATTCTTTTAAATTTTCAATTCAACTTTTCAATTTTGTTTAATATAGTCCTTCTTGTCATTTAATCCTAAATTCACAAATATTCCAATTCACCATCTAGACATCAAATTTAGCACTCCAACTTTTAATCTCATCCTAATACATCAATTATTAAACAATTACATGTTAATCCTCATATTTTCCAATTTTTGTGATTAGATCCCTATACTTTCACTATTTTCCAAATTGGCCCAAGTCATATTCTAATCATATAGAATCACTCATTCATAATTTCTAACCTTGTAAAATTTTACCACAAGTTTTCCTTATTTCTTTCCTTTGGCCAAATACTTTTAAGTTTTCCTAACATAGTTTCTATTTTGATTTAAACATAAATTCATCATCTAAGCAACATTTCCATGAAATTATCATATTTTCCTCATATGATAAATGTCATAATTTTCATGCTAAGATAATAGAGTTGGCTTATTTCAACCAATTAAAATAGCATATAACATAAAAATATCACAAAATGCATAATTTACCACTATTTCATATACTGGCAATTTGCACTGCCCTCAATGAAGTATTTTTTTTGTATTAATCTATACACTTAAAAATATTCCGTTTGTACCATTAAAGACTAGGCTCGAATAAAAATCTAACCATATAAGTAATTTCTTCTAATTCAACTTGTACATTTTATGGAAAAATTTTCAATCTAGCTTACATAATCTATTTGGAGTAGAATCTGCTACCCAAGTTTCTTACCTATCACAGATTAAAGTTTTATATCTTTTTGTATACACCTATAAATCAGTATCCGTTTTTTTTAAACAAAACTAGATTGATCTACAAATCCAATAGGTATAAAAATCGTCTTTTATTTATTCTTGTAGAATTTATAGTGATTTTCTAAACTTACTGTCCAAATTATCAATTTAAACTGATTTAACTAATTTGCATTTTGAACTTATTCACTCACTTTTATTAGCTTATCAAATGAACACAAATGAATCAATTGAAGAAACTAATATCATCAACACAATCACCTTCAGCACAATACAGTAATTTTCAACAATTACATAATTATGCTTTAATTTCTCAAGTCATGCAAAATAGACACCTAATACTCTCCAACTTGTTTCAAGCTTGATTCATCAAGTAAAACTCATTTCCAATCAATTATAATCATTCTCAATCAAATTCAAAGCAAAAAAAAAAGTTCAAATTCAACCAAGTTCCTAATGGCCAAATCATCAGACCAATCCCTCCAACAATTTTTATTCAACTTTTATGCTTAATTATAACCTTACAACACTCCTAATATCAAAATCTAACTAAATTTCATCAAATTCTCAACTCCCCTTCATCCACCAAAATCACAACTTTCACCATTCAAGCATGAAACCAAGAAATAATTACACCAAATTGTAGAGAATTTAATGGGAATTATTTTATTATTTCACACTTTAGCCTAAAATCTTCTTCAATTTGATCAAAAATGGAAAAGAAAATAAATTGCTCACATTGGCTATGATTTTCAGCAACTGTTGTAGAAGAAGAGACTCCTGAAATTTCTGGGGAAAAATCCTCCAATTTTGACTTTTAAAAACAATAATTTTTTTTTGTTCAGATTGGGCCAAAAACTCAAATTACCATTAATGAATTCCCAAATTTATAACCATACCACTCCATTATCTCTATTTTAATATTATTAAATAGCTATAAAATTCTCATCTCTCAATTTTTCTTTTTGATCCTCAAATTTTCTAAAATTTCATTTTAATCACTAAATGCACTATCTCACTTTATAATGCAATTGTCACCAAATTCAACCGAATCCAACTTAAATTTCTCTATTTAAAAATATCCATATAATTTTTCCAACCCAAATCTACCTTCTTGTAATTTTTTTATAAACTTTCTATTCGAGCCGGTTATCTGAATAATTTAGCGAATTTTATCCTTTAATAGACTTTTATGCAAACTCCGGATCAAAAATCTGAAACCCACTAAAATAATTGTATTGGGCTGAACTACTAATTTACAAATCTAAAATATAACTTTTGAAAATGTACATTGTTAGTCACTATACTTTTACAACTTTATACATTTAGTCCCCAAACTTTCAATATTTACACTTCAATCACAATCAAATTTTTGGGGTATTACAGGGGCGGAACTAGAAATTTATTAAGGTGGGAGTTAAAATATTTTTTTATTTTTCATAAATATAATTTTTTAATTGAGGGGTGGGTAAATATTTTTATTTATTTTTTTAAAACATATATTTTTTCAATATTAATTAATACTTAAAAAATTGACGGGGCCAAGAGGAGCCGTGAATTTCCGCCTATGGGTCAAATTCGTCAGGTCTACACTAAAATCATGTGTGCAACGTAGATCGGTCCGGATTAATCAAGGCGAAGCCTTGAGAACTGGGAGGGCATTGTGCAACCAATAGAGGACAAGTGTCTTTTCCTAACATCTTATTGCACTAGTTGGTGCCCCAAATGAAAAGCAAGGTAAGTATGTATGCATTTAGATTCATTCGTTTGGTGTATATCTAAGAAATATGATCAATATGTTTTCTACCATTCAATGATATTGAGTTTGGCTTGTTCAAAAGTGAATTAGTAAATGATTTAAATTCAGGTAATGAGATTAGTAACACTAGGGTTGCAAATATGACATTATTGAGATACGTTGCTATGCAAAAATGGACTTAAATAATCATGCTTGAAATTCCAGCAAAGAAATATGCTTTTGGGTATGTATTGGCATGTGATATGAGCCTACTAACACTGAACTATGTTGAGTGCACACCTAAGGCCTGTGTTGCATATTATGTTAGAAATGATGTTATGATAATATTTGAACATGTCATATAAGATATTATAAAACATTAATAATCAGCCATTGTATGCAATGAAATTTCATTCAATACAATTTACATGCTATACGATGTTCAAGTACTTAGTGTCATTTCTGTTCATTCTAGTCTCTAGATCAATTTTAGGATTTTGGCTCGTTTTAGGTCTTCAAATCATTTTAAGGCTTCGATTCATTTTAGTGGTTTATCCATGTTTCTAGACATGTATCATATTAGGGCTTAAGCTCGTTAGGTCTTTGACTCATTTTCAGTCTATTTATTGAACCATATTCTAGACATATTGTATCATATTAGGGTTTAAGCTCGTTAGGACTTTGAATCATTTTCAATCTATTTATTTTCTCTCTCTTGTATCCTGGGATTATAACATATAATTTTACGTTACGATAAATTAATTAATTGACATATTTCAGCATTATATTTCATATAAAATGTAATAATTTAAATTTTTGAGTCAACGCATGAGGGATGATCCGAGAGGTCTATAAACCTATACGAGAGTATGGTTAAACTTATTAAACAAAGTGTGCATAAATATTGTAAGAGACTTGAGCCTAATTGAACATAAAAATAGAGATATTTGAATCGAGATCAAACGAGAAGGGACTAAAATAGTAAATATACCATTGATTTCCTCGTCTCAAGTAGGGGAAGGGAAGCTGAGCATGTTAGCTCACCCACTTTTTTCACTCATCTTTTCTCCTTTATTTCAACTTTCAAAATTTCTCGAAGCAAGTTTTAAGTTTTGGACATTAAAGAATCTATTTTATCCTTTAGATCATCAATTCGAGTTTGAAACAAGTGAGATTATTTATCTCCATTTTTAAAGTTAAAGAAAAGCGTTACATCTTTCGTAAAAGATGGCTTGAGGTTTTAGTCATCGAGATGTTTTAAGCCGTATCTATGGCATTCATAAATTTTTAAATTCGTTTTGATGTTTTCCCTAATCTCGCGTTTGGTTAAAAATTCCTTTTGATGTTTGTGTGATCAGTAAAAGAGTTGGGAGAACTCTTTAATCTGAAAGAAAAAAAAAGGTTGGAGGGAATTAAGCAAGGAGCTATCTTATGAGTTAAGCTAATACACTTCAAACTTTGAAAAATTTTATTCCTAAAATTAATATTCAAACTCTAAAACATGAAAACAATATGAAATCAAACACAAGTATTATCTTTATTGTTTATGTATCCTTTTTGTTTTCCTATTTTTTATCCAAAATAATAAAAGAAAAATAATAATACAAACCTTCAGTTATGAGCTTGGCCCCGTTTGGTTCACGGAATATTTCATTCCTGGGAGGAATGTTTTTTTCTGGGTTAAAATACCCACGTTTGGTTTCTCCACATTCCCAAGTGCCAGTCAAAAATTAATACCAACAATGATATTTTTTCCGTTTTCCCGGGAATGTTAGTCCCTCATCTCCCTTAGGTATTTGCTTATTCCCGTCCCCGTTGTCTAAAATACCCTTCTCCCTGCTTGGTTCTGCTGAAACAAAATCTTCTTCTTCGATTTGGCGTTGATCTCTGCTTCTGGCGTGTTAGGTATTTGCTTCTGGCGTTGATATTTCAATTTTTATTTTCAACATTTTTCTTGGTTTGTTTCATTGTTCATCTACCTTTGATCATTGTTTTCTATTTTTTTCGCAATGGAATTAAGGTTTGTTTCATTGTTGAGTTTTGGCTGCTCTTCATTTTCCTTTCCTTAATATGATCGACTATTAATTTAGTTTCCCATAGGATGAGTTTTATGATTTTCATTTTTATGAAGATGTTCATGTATGGTTTGAGTTTTATGAGCATGTTTAAGTATGAAGGATAGCATTGAAAATTTGGATTTTTAAGTTGGAGATGATGATGTATTGCTGTTACACTGGGACAAGCTGGTCTTTTGAAGGAACTTCTGAACATAATTGAGTGCATGAGGCAGAAACCTTCTAAAAGAACTAAAAATATGCGTCACAAGAAGTGGGAGCCAATGCTTGAACCTGATATTGTTGTATATAATGCTGTATGTGAGCATCCCTCATTTTGTCGCTCCTTTTTACTGCTCATGTCTCCTTGCCATCTTTCAATCCATTAATAAGTTTCTTTTGCAAAATGCTTGCCAGGTTCTGAATGCTTGTGTTCCACTACATCAATGGAAAGGGATTTCGTGGGTGTTTGATCAGTTGAGAAAGACTGGTCTGAGACCTAATGGAGCAACGTATGGACTTGCAATGGAGGTACTTATAATCATCGATATCTTCACTCGGACTATGTTTCAGTCTTCTTACTTTCAGTCCAAAGCAGCAATTGCAATTTGGTATTGTTTTATGCTGGCATCATGGTCGTTTGATTGTTAATGTGTGTTTTAAGTTCATGTGCTACCTTTTATGAGTTACTTTTCCAGCTACAAAATGCTGATTACCTCAGATTTCAAAGCTTTAGATGTCAGGCAATGCATTTAAATGAGCATTGCTATTTATCTCTTCATATTTCCAGTGAAGCTTATAGAATTAATGGGGGTATAACTTTAGAAGTCCTCTCAAGGACGCAATTTTAGTGATATTGCAAATGTCTTTGTGTTGGCAGAGGAATAATTTATAAGCATAGGAGTCCAGAATAAATTAGTTTTTGGTGTGTCATCCCACATTACTACCTTAGTGGAAATGCTTCATGCTCTGATCGAAGGAAATTATATCTACTGCCAAGTATTATTTATCCTCAAGTTATATTTCAAATTTGAGTCTTACACGAGGTGCTTATTGAAAGGTAATGTTGCATTCTGGGAAGTATGATTTGGTCCACGAGTTTTTTAGAAAAATGAAAAGAAGCGGAGAAGCTCTAACAGCACTTACAAAGGTAGCTTATTTCCTTTTCTCGTTGTTAGCATGCATGTTTCTGTTGAAAAGTTGGTTTTGTTTCAACTCAATACACTGCTTGATCTGTGGCTTTCCAGTCCTTGTCAAAGCCTTTTGTATTGCGGAAGACGGCTATCGGATAGAGAAAAATCGCAACTGATAATTTGAGAAAATAAAAATGAAGATAAAAGAGACACAAAATTTACGTGGAAAACCCCTAAATAATATAGGGTAAAAATCACGGGCAACGGTAGAAGAATTTCACTATGAGAAAATAGGAATTACAACTTCTCTCGATCGACCAAAGAGAAAACAATGATAATTCTCTCTTGATAAAAAGGAGAAAACAACTCTCAAGAAACTCTCTAAATTCTCTCTAGTATTGGAAGAAAGCTAAAATGCTTTGGGATGATTTTGAAGCTAAATGAGCTAGGGTATTTATAGTCGAAGTCTTAAGGACTAATTTGTAAATACCATAAAGTATAATGACTAATTTAAGCTTTTACCATTTTTTCCAACAAATTAGTTGAAACTTTTGACAATTTGCATTGAATGAATTCGGTGCATTAATGCACCGTTTTCCTTGACTTTTCAACAATCTCCCACTTGAAGATTTGATTGGAACAATTATATCTTCACACCATTCTTTCTACCTTGTATCTTCATATTGCTTACGTCTCTGACAGGCCACAGGAGGATCGACACCAGGTAAATTTATCAGCATTGATTGCCTTCGTCATGAAATCTACTATGTTGTCTTTGGTATGGATCTTCTGCATATCTATCGTCCCTTCTTCCACCTTTTCACGAATGAAGTGGTACTGAACTCGTATGTGCTTTGTCCTTGAATGAAATGATGGATTCCTTGCTAGATGCAAGGCGCTTTGACTGTCACAAAACAGAGAGACATACTCTTGATTGTGCCCAAGCTCCTCCAATAACATCTTCAACCAAATTGCTTCTTTACTGGCTTGTGTAGCTGCTACATATTCTTCTTCTGTTGTGGATGTAGCCACAACTGATTGCAATTTTGAAACCCAGCTTACAGCTCCATCAACAATTTTGAACACATATCCTGTCGTAGATTTGCTTTTATCTAAATCCTCTGCATAGTCAGAATCTACATACCCATTGATTAGTAAGTTTGATCCTCCGTAACATAATGCAACATTTGAGGTCCCTTTGATGTATCTCAGGATCCTCTTTACTGTATTCCAATGCTCTTTGCCTGGATTCGCCATGTACCGACTAACCACTCCCACTGCTTGTGCAATGTCTAGTCTTGTGCATATCATAGCGAACATTAAGCTTCCCACTGCTGATGCATACGGTACTTGAGACATCTATATCATCTCTTCTTCACTGCTAGGACTCATACTGGAGGATAATTTGAAGTTAATAGGAAGAGGGGTAGAAATTGGCTTACAATCTTGCATGCTAAATCGTGACAAGGTTTTCTTCAAGTAATTCTTTTGTGAAAGCCAAATCTTCCTATTACTTCTCTCTCGGTGAATTTGCATCCCTAGAATCTTGTTTGCTGATCCCAAGTCATTCATTTCAAATTCCCTAGCCAGTTGTGCCTTCAATTCTTTAATATGGTCTTTGTTGGGTCTTGCAACCAACATGTCATCCACATACAACAGCAATATAACAAAATCGTTATCACCAGACCTCTTGAAATAAGCACAAGGGTCTGCATTAAGTCTGTTGTATCCAAGGCACATAATGAAGGAATCAAATCTCTTATACCAACACCTCAGCGCCTGCTTTAGACCGTACAGAGATATGTTCAACCTGCAAACCAAGTTCTTTTTTTCGTCTTCTTCAAAACCTTCAGGCTGGAGCATATAAATCTCTTCTTCAAGATTTCCATGAAGAAAAGTTGTTTTAACATCTAGCTGTTCCAGATGTAAATTCAATGTAGTACACATTGCCAAAACTACTTGAACTGTTGTTAGTCGAACCATAGGAGAAAAAATTTCATTGAAATCAATACCTTCTTTCTGAGCATATCCTTTGACCACCAGTCTTACACGATACCTCTCCACTTGATCGTCACCATTTCGCTTGATTTTGAAAACCCATTTGTTACCAATTGGCTTTCTTCCTTGCGGTAGTCGCACAAGATCCCATGTATTATTTTTATGAAGGGCTTCGATTTCTTCTTGCATCGCCATCATCCACAATGAAGCATCTGAGTTGTTTATTGCCTCCTGGTATGTTAATGGCTCACCATCCTCTATTAAAAGGCAGTATGCAATATTTCCTTCTATAATATAATCTTAGTGCCAATTGGGACGTCTTCTCACACGATCTGATTGACTAGTTGTTGGAGCTTCAGAACTCTCTGGTTCTTGTTCATCGTGTGCTGGTTCTGCTTCAGAAGAATCTCCTTGTTCAAACTCCTTTTCCACATGTATCTGTGTAGTTTCTAACTTTTTAGCGCTATCATCGTCTTCTTTTCTTTGTAGCTTGTCTTCTACAAAGATAACATCTCTGCTAATGATCACTTTGCGGGCAGTGGGATCCCACAAGCGATACCCCTTTACTCCATCAGCATACACCAAGAATTTGCATTTCCTGGATTTTGGATCCAACTTTGAAATTTCTTGGGAGTTGTACATCACGTACACTATACTTCCAAATACATGGAGGTTTGAATAATCAGCTGGTTTACCAGTCCACATCTCCATTGGTGTCTTCAGCTCTATTGCAGTTGATGGAGCTCGATTCACCAAATAACAGGCGGTATTGACAGCTTCTACCCAGAATGATTTTTTCTAGGCTTACATCCCTCAACATTGCTCTTGTTCTTTCTAACAAGGTTCTGTTCATCCGCTCTGCCACTCCATTTTGTTGAGGAGTGTTCGCCACTGTGAACTGTCTTTTGATGCCTTCTTTCTTGCAAAAGTCATCAAATTCTTCGCTTGTGTATTCTCCTCCATTATCTGTTCTGAAACACTTGATCTTATTTCCAGAATCAAGTTCCACCCGTGCTTTGAAGTTTTTGAAAGTTAAAAACACATCTGACTTCTTCTTAATAGGGTACACCCAACATCTCCTGGAGTAGTCATCAATAAATGAGACAAAGTATTTTGCTCCGCCTAGGGATGTAACTGGTGCTTGCCATACGTCAGAATGAACCAATTCTAGAACATTTTTGCCTCTAGAATTTGACGTGTTGAATTTTAACCGGGTGTTGCTTACTTGTTATGCAATGCTCACACAAAGTAAGTGATACCTTTGTTAATCCTGGAAGTAGCTTTTCCTCCACAAGATCTTTCATTCCTTGTTCTGACATGTGTCCAAGTTTCTGATGCCATAGCATTGAAGAATCTGAACTACATGAGGCAACAGAGGCTTTTGCTTCTAGCAAAGTCTCTCCCTTCAGCATGTACAAGTTTGCAGCTATCTTTTCTCCTTTCAGCACCACAAGCGCTCCACGGAACACATTCATGATTCATTTCTGTGTTTCAATCTTGCTTGCATTATTATCCAACAATCCGTAGGATAATAAATTTTTCTTCAGGCCTTTCACATGCCGCACATCTCGAACAACTTTAATTGTTCCATCACACATCTTCAATTTGATGGTTCCCACGCCAATGATCTCTAAGGCATGATCATTGCAACTATACACAGATCCTCCTGAGACAGGTTCATAATGATGGAACCATTCTTTTCTTGAGGTCATGTGGTATGTCGCTCCCAAATCAATGAGCCATATATCTGCAAATCTTTTTCTGTCTTCCACGGTGGTTGACGCTTCACAGCATAGAGCATCTCCATCATCTGAAGTGTTTGCGGTATTTCCTTGTGGATTGGAGTTTTTATTTAAACTCCAACAATCCTTCTTCAAGTGACCCTTCTTTCCACAGTTGTAGCACTTTAAATTCTTCTTGCTCATCGACTTCGATCTACCATGTTTGTGACTACTGCTTTGGCCATGTTCTGTTGATCTCCCTCTCATTGTTGTCAATGCTTCTTCTTGTTGCAGATTTACTTGTCTATCTTCCTTGTTCTTGCGCCGATTTTCTTCTTGTAGAACAGCAGCAGCAACGTCATCGAAGACTAGACTGGTGACATTACTGTTTGTCAAGTTGATGATGAGTTGATCATACGAATCCGGTAGACTTTGAAGTAGAAGTTCAGCACGTTCTTGTTCTACTATTTTACAGCTTAAGGATGTAAGCTGAGAAAATAAACTGTTCAGTGTGTTTAAGTGCTCCGTCATTGAAGTAGATTCTGACATCTGGAGAGTGTATAATTTTCTCTTCAGGAAAATTTTATTGTGCAGCGATGTGGCCTTGTATAATTTGGTGAGATGATCCCATATCTCCTTAGCTGTCTTTTTCTCCTCGATGCTTGAAAATACTTCATCTGCTAATGCTAGATGAAAGTTTGCCATAGCATTTCCGTCCATTTCGATCCATTTGCTGTCATCTGCAAAATCCACCGGCCTTTCACTGATAGCCGCTAGACACCCGTCTTTCCTCAGGATGGCCTTCATCTTTAATTTCCACAATGAGAAATTTCTCCCATTGAATTTTTCAATATCAAATTTCATCTCCATATCTTCAATTACGGATAGCTCCCACTATTTCACTATCGTGAATAGTTCTCTGGAACCTTCAAAGAATGAGTAATACCTTCTTACTTTCTTATGTTGGAGGATCCACCTTTTGGTGGCAACCACAAAGACAATAAGCAGATATTACATACTCTAATCTGGCTCGGATACCAATTGTTGCGGAAGACGACTATCGGATAGAGCAAAATCGCAACTGATAATTTGAGAAAATAAAAATGAAGATAAAAGAGACACAAAATTTACATGGAAAACCCCTAAATAATATAGAGTAAAAATCACGGGCAACGGTAAAAGAATTTCACTATGAGAAAATAGGAATTACAACTTCTCTCGATCGACCAAGGAGAAAACAATGATAATTCTCTCTTGATAAAAAGGAGAAAACAACTGTCAAGAAACTCTCTAAATTCTCTCTAGTATTGGAAGAAAGCTAGAATGCTTTGGGATGATTTTGAAGCTAAATGAGCTAGGGTATTTATAGTCGAAGTCTTAAGGACTAATTTGTAAATACCCTAAAGTACAATGACTAATTTAAGCTTTTACCATTTTTTTCCAACAAATTAGTTGAAACTTTTGACTATTTGCATTGAATGAATTCGGTGCATTAATGCACCGTTTTCCTTGACTTTTCAACATTTTGGGGGAAGGAAAGATTAATGAGGCTGTGGAAGCAGTCCGTGATATGGAACAAAGGGGAGTAATTGGAACAACCAGTGTCTATTATGAACTAGCTTGCTGTCTTTGCAGAAATGGAAGGTGGCACGATGCTATGATAGAGGTAAATTTCATTCTCTATGGATTCTAAGTCGTGACTGGATCTGAGTGATTGAATATTTGCATATTTGGATCATACATTCTCTTTAGGGTAAACTAAAGTGGTTCTTTCCCCCATGGTGAGTGGGGAGGGTGTAACACAAAAAGATCAATTTATGGATATTAATAACTTCACAGTGCATATATCTGCTCTCGTTTCATAATTGATGTTCCCTTGTTCTTCGGGTTTTTTTGCAAACTACAATGACTTCAAGGAGCCATTTCCATTGTTAATGGATGTTATTGTTGTCTATAACACTAGTATAGGACCTGAATATGTGTGTGTTATCCACATTATAATAACAGGGTTGACCTGAGGAAACCATATGAAATTAAAATCCTTTAAGCTTTGACAATTTAGGAGCTTGTTTAAAAAGTTACATGGTATTCAAATGGTCTTCTCTTTTTAGATATTTGTATGGGATAATGTCAGATTTTGTACCTGACTTTGACAAAATGTCCAATGTGTACTTATTCTTTTAAAATGTCGCAATATTGGATATTTTGTTAACACACAGGTATCAAATGTGATATTATCTCTATTTGTATTATTTTACTTTTAGTGGATGGAGAGAGAAAGCTTGGAATGAACTATGAAGTCTAATAGCATTTCATGTTTCTTTTAGTGTCTGTACCTATGCATCGATTTTGCATTGATGACCATAGACCTAGAAACTTTTAAATTCAGCTAAACTATGTTTGCAGGTGGACAAGATTAAAAAACTCCCTACTAGGAAACCTTTGGAGATAACCTTCACTGGTTTGATAATGGCATCCCTAGATGGTGGATATGTTGATGATTGCATTTCCATATTCCAATACATGGAAGACCATTGCGCACCCAATATCGGAACCATAAATGCAATGCTTAGAGTGTATGGTTATGGTTGTTAGGGCATGAGAGTAGGGAACACGGTGGGTACATGCAGATGGCAAGAGTGATGAAGCTATAGGCTGTTGGGGTCCTTACCTTTTAATTAGTTATCTTTCGAAATTAGATTTTGTCTCTAGCATTTAGTTTATGTAATTCTCATTTTGTGAACTTGTTTGGTGTTTATCTCCATAGGTTATTATAAATTAGTCTTATCATGTTGGTTGTTTAGGCTATGAACATATCCTATTTTTTTTGTGGTTATGAACCAAGTGTCCATCGGTAGCTTAAGCTCAATCTGGTAGTATTCATTGACCGAACTGTTATATGGGTTTAACCGGTTCGTCAACACATTAATTGTTGACTTAAACTTATGCTAGAAAAAATCGCTACTAAAACTTCATGACAGACAACATATGCTAAAAAAAGATTCGGTGGCTGGGTGCAGATTGCAGATTGGGAAAATTAAGGGTCTGATTGAACAGTTGGATCCTCCTTGACTTTGCGTTACTCGACTATATCAAGTGTCTAAACCCCAAGGCTTTTGATTGATAATGTTAAATCATTTTTTGATTGATAATGTTAAATCATGTTAAATCTAATAAAATTTTCGTATTCTAGTTAAATGTTGATGTAAAATTTTAATATATTTTTTAGATAAATAATGTAAAATTAATATTATTTATAATTAAAATAATACATGATATGCTTACTCTTTTATTCTACCCATTTATCTTTTAAATTTTATAAAAAAATTATATATAAATTTTATTATAAAGTATATACATTTAAAATAATAAAACAATATATTTTCGATGCTTTTTTATATAAATATTTTCATTTAAATATTTAAAATTCCACTTGTTAAAACATATAGAACAAGGACAATTTGATAAAATATATGTTCCAATAATCTCTTATTCCTTCAACCAAACACTGTAATCTTACATTCATTCTCAGTCATGTATAAGGTAATGTTACATTCTAGTAATGTTATTTCCAAAGGTAATCTTATATTCCGTGAATCAAACGCACCCTAAGTGTTTAGTTTTTGCATGTTCTCTCTCTCTATATACCCGAAATATATTATTTTAATATTTAAAAAATACATGTAATTATTTATAAATATCTGAAATTTCATATTTTTCATTAAAATTACTTAAAATTTTTAATTATCAATTTTAAGATTTATAGCATGATCTTTCATTATTAAAAAAGGTTTGATGATATTCTATCAAAAAAAAGTTTGAAGATATGTAATCTAGACGACATAATAGATATGATAATAATACTTATGATAAATAGATGGTAAATATATTTTTTATAATCATTGGTATTTGATTTATTAATTGATTAATTTGGATCGGATACTATAGAGGAGATGACGACCCTCCTAATCCAGTTTTGCTCCATTCATAACGTTAAGATTCAAACCACTAATCTTGTTTAAGGGATCTAATACTTCATCCCACTAGACCAACCAATTGTTTGTAGACGGCTCGTATGTTAAACTTATCTAAAAGACTGAACCGATCCAGACAAATATATATTCAAATATAGTATGTGTTATCTTTTATAGCTAATTGATATTAATTATCTAGTTATTAACAGTAAATAAATTTATTAATACAACTATTGGAGAAATTATTTACTGGTGTTTTATACTATAATACGTTTATATAGGGACAACTTATTAAATGTTCTAAGTGAGAAAAGTAAATAATATTCTCTTTAGAAGATTTAGGTTCGAATAGTTATATTTATAAAGCGTATGTATAGTATTAATATACTAAGAAAAATTTTAAATAAATATAACCCAATGATCATTAAAAAAGGGTTTGCATCGAGACATTTATTAGTGGAAGTACATCAAATTCAAGCTTAAAAGATCTCAAAAAGGTGAACTGGAAATTTTGGGTCCAACCACTATCGATGATGGTCGGCAGAAACGATAAGCGGTGGTCGTGGTAGGAATGAGAGTTTAAGATATAATAAATCGATAATATAAATGGCTGAAACATAACGTTTTAAATTTAGTGATAAGAACTAGACAAAATTGAAATAAAAGTGACCAAAACTATAGTTTACCCTGATTTAAAAAGCTTTGATAAAAAGAACGAAGCACTCTGCACTTCTGCACTCGAGAGGGAGAGAGGGAAACGGTAAACATCTGCTTCTTCTCGGGAGTCCCTGCTTTCTTTGTGACCGAATTGCTGGTTATGGATCACAGGGTGAAGGAGGAAGCTGAAGAGATACCGAAAAGAACGACGTTATTTGCTGGTAGGAGGCTCAAATCTACTGGCGAAGAAGACTTTACCCACGCTCCTAACCTTAACCCTTCTTCGGTCTATCTTTTCTTCTTTCTCTCCTTCTTGCTTTCTGTTTGTTTAGCTGGATTTCGAAAGAAAATGATAGAAACTATAGGAGAATAAGTTAGATCTTTTACTTATTGCTGTAGTTTTTCAACAACAAAAAAAGAAGGTTCCGTACTCTCTTTACTCGATTGGTAATTATATGCGTTGCATTATATTTCATTTTTGCAGGAAAACAAGAAAAATGATAGGAAGAAGGCTAAGGCGTCAACTGAGCGAAAACTGAAGCTAAAGAAGAGCCATTCCGAGACCATAATCAAACCTGTAAAACCTTTATTCTTTTTTTTTTTTTTTAAGAATTGTTAAATACATATTTACTGCTATGACAAATGTTTATTGTATAATGACTCAACTGTTGTCGCAAACTTCCAAATGCATTGTTCAGTGCACCAGCATTTGAATGATTGTTTTGGTTAATAGTCCCCCCACTTTTCAAACTTTAAATTTCAAATATTATTTTGAACTTGTCAAAAGAAAACACTCCGTAGAAGTGTACTAATAAATTGAAAAAAAGTGGCAACTTATTTGACATGGTCAAATTATTTGGCGTATGGAATGGACTAGACCTGGGAGTTTCTAATTTCAAACTTCCATCAAGAATTGTTTGTCTTTTTGCTAAGAATGAATGGGAATTAGCACTAACAATTAGATTTTCTGACAGGCAATGTCAGATTCTGGGGGCATGAAAATAAGGTTAGTGAAGTATCTAAAAGAATTGGGATCTACATATGCTGTTTTACTGCTTTTTGATTCATTTTCTGATGATGTTTAGTTTTTTCTGGAAGTTCTATGAAAAATAACGCGAGTGATGGAAGATGCACCCCTGAATTCAAGTCTCCAGCTATGATTTGTGCAGAGGAAATTCAATCAAACCTAGAACCTGAATTTCCCAGTTTTGCAAAATCTTTGGTTAGATCACATGTTAGAAGCTGTTTTTGGATGGTTAGTGCCGTCAAATGCCTAAATTCACTTTGTATGATTGTATTAACAGTGAAAATTTGTGTGTGTACTATTCTTTTTTCTGTGCTCATTTTCTTTTTCTTTTGATAGGGGCTTCCTGGGGTGTTCTGTAAAATGCATTTACCTAGGAAGGATACTACAATTGCTTTGGAAGATGAAGGTGGGCACCAATATTATGTAAAATACTATGCTCATAAAACGGGATTGAGTGCAGGTTGGAGACAGTTTTGTAGTGCCAATAATTTGCTTGAGGGTGATGTTTTGGTCTTCCAGTTAGTTGAGCCAACCAAGTTCAAGGTGATGGTTTAAATTACATTTCCATTAGCTATTCTTCTTGACCTTCCAATTTTCTCGAGGTTTTTAGGTTTATACTGCTTAAGTGCAATATGTGATTATATTTCTGTTGATAGTTCTGACTTGTCATTGGAGTTTAATGCTAAGAAGAAAGTTCTAGGTATGTTTTATTTCTCCATGTCTCAACATTGGATGGGTATCCACTATGATTGAGGGATCTAATTCTGGGATTAGAGACCGACCCTCCAACCTAAATGTGATATTCTTCTGTAAGACTTAAATTAATATTGATACAAGATGCTGGTAAAACACACACTTGAATGTTTTTTTATAGGAAAAATGTAAAAAACACAATGGAAGTAAAATATGGGTAGAAAAACGAGGGGAGGGATGTAGGGATAGAACTAGGATAAAACATCGTGGGGCTGAATTGCCTAACCTTGAACTTGACATGGACCTAGGAAGTATTTAAACAAAAAATGGGGGTCTTGAGTTAATTTGTCTTAGATTTAGACGTTAAAACAATTGAGGTATTCTCTTCATTATTTAAGCTGATTATTTTTTATATTGGTTACTACATCATGGGAGAATTCATGATTAGAACCATAAACATCATGGGCAGCAAAAATTTTTGAATCTGCTATTTTTGTAGAATAAAAGTGTAAGAGCTATGTATGTAATATACTAAGCTATACATAGTATAACAAGGCTTATGCAGCCACTAACTTAAGAAATTAAAAACATTTAATAACATTGCAGTGACTGAAGCCACTTTTTCTCCCCCTCTTACTATGATCTCTTTTACTGCTTTACCAAGCCTGGAGAGTAACAGATTCTGAGACTCCATCCAGATAAGAAAACATCTGCTCAATAGTTCTAATTATTTTTGTTCCTAAACTTGCTAGAGAAGACTGATTTTTTTCAGATTGGATTTTGCCTTTAACTAGTTATGTAGGAACTGATCAACCATCAGATGCGAAACAAATGCTCACTGGTTCCTGCATAACTGAAGATGTTAATGCTCATATATTTTAAATGATCAAATCCAAGTTAACGTGGCTAGTCTTTTCGAATGTATGGTGGGGTTTGTTAGCAAAGATGTTAAGGACCTTAAAAAGACTTTTTGTGAAACCTGATTCCTGAAGATGTAGTTAGGGTAAATATGAAACCTCATTCCTAAAGATTCTGATGCGTGCGCCTTATAGGGTGATTATGAAACCTCATTCTTAAAGATTCTGATGAGTGTGCCTTATTACGAGGTCACACACTGAAGAGCTAAGATAGTGGAAAAAATGTCAGGGGTAGGCCTATAACATTGCAGTGAAAGTTGGACATCTTAGTATCATACTATTCTTAGTGTACTGTTTTTTCAAGATTGATCTATAGTGCTAAATCAAACCATTATATCACTCTTTAAAAACTTGCATGTGTTGTTTTTTGAAGTTTTCTTGGTTTACAGGAGGAATGGAGAGAAATAGATTTAGTTCCAGCTAACTACATCAGAACTTTAAAAGTTTCTATAGGAACCGTAGGTGATACAGAACTAGTGTGGAGTTCATATTAGGTTTATTACAATTCCTTACACCATTGAAGCAAAAGACTGCTTGACTGTGTCTCTAACCTGGCCCATCAGCAGTAATTTAAGGGTTTTACAATGCATCAGTTTTCTTCCCCTGTTTGAAGAGTGATTATCTTCTGTTTCTCTTAAATGCATGTATTCTTGTGAAAATTCAGTTATTTACTTTAGTAATTACTCTTTATCTCTAACATGTATCATCGTATCGTTGTAGATATACACAATAACGGCAAATGATTTGAATGAAATGGATGGAGCTCTTGGCCTCCTCAATTTGGATGCTCATACAGAGCAAAACGATGCAGGCAAGTTGATTGGTATCTTTGTTTGGTCTCTTAATTGTCATGCTTTCATGTCAGAAGATTTGCATTATAACTGAATTTCTGGAAAAAAAATATAATATATGATGCAGAAACTGGTCCAACGGACTATAAAAGTACAAAGAGGAAACGCCCGAAATCTCTTCCACTAGCTTCTTTTCAAAAGCAGAAAAAGAGGTCTGGCCTACAAAGATTGGCTTGTGATATTGGGCAGCCAGCAGAGCTATCTGAAAATGATAGTGAAGAAGTTGGTTCAGAAGTTTTGGAAGGTTTCAAGCGACCCCTGCGAACAATTCAATTCAAAGACGTAACAAGTTTTGAGAACGACGTATTGGTTGATGGCTTGGTTGTGGATCCCGGGCTCTCGGAAGATATTCGCAATACATACTACCAGCTATGCTGTAGTCAAAACGCTTTACTGCATGAAAATGTTATCCAGGGTATAAGTTTTAAATTTAAAGTTGAAATTATTTCCGAAACCGTCAGAATTGCTGATGCCATAAGAGCTTGCAAGCTCTCAACATCTCGAGATGAATTTGATAGTTGGGACAAGACCTTGAAATCCTTTGAGATGTTGGGCATGAATGTTGGATTCTTACGAACTCGAGTACACCGGCTGGTAAACCTTGCATTTGAATCAGAAGGCGCAGCTGAGATAAGGAGAAACAATGAAGCTAAAACCGAAAGAGCTCAGGCTGAGAACGAGATAAGAAACCTTGAAGCAAAACTCACTGAGCTGAAGGATGCATGCAAGACGTTCGGATTTGAAATCGAGAGTTTGCAATCTAAAGTAGAAAGCAATGAGCTGATGTTTGAGGAAGAAGTTAAAGCTCCATGGTGAGATTGCTATAAAGATGTATTCTTGCCCTTTATGTATGGGTACTCTGCGACTCTTTCATTTGCTTGAGGCTTAATTGCTTATAACTTCCTTTGTTTCAATGTTAATGGGAGAATTATGATCAGGTAAAAGAATATTATTCTAAGATGGTGCTTGAGGTTGGCAATATAGGATCAACAAGAGACCAAGACCAGACCAGACGGGCGACACTCGGAGGCAAGTGCGCCCTGCTTCCACGTTTATTTTCATGGGATTAGGTTAATGAATTACATTTTCTTTCCTGGTTGAATGAAAATTTAGAAAAGAAACGCAAGTCTTTAAAACAACTTGCAGTAGCATGTGCCACGGGATTAGAGTTTTGCCTAGAGATTCGTTGTAGTCTTAGACGATGAATAACTTTGTTAGAACTTAAAGCTCACCAAAACATCGAACAATCTCTCAAGGCTTAAGAAATATGAGCTTTGAGAGTTTGTTCGTTATTTTGGTAAGCTTAAATTCTCACAAGATTGTTTTGTACATTAACTTAGACAATCGACCCGAGTTTTATAGTCTAAGGCCGTACATACTACTAGACAAATTCTAGTACTGTGACACACGTCTAATGTGTCTGGGGTACCTAAACTAATTGGCACATTATTTAAAAACCCTAAACCAAAACTGTCAATGACTCGAACGTCTTTTGATGCAACTTAATTAATTGCAATAAAACGGTGATTTTTTTAATATAGATATGATTTGAATCAACATGTTACTTCAATACTATGAATTCACTTACCCGTTATTTTAGAGATGCACATAACCGGATTTAAATCCGATCCGGATCGGATAAAAACCGATCCGATTTTTTCACTAAGCTAAAAAATCGGTTTATAAAAAAGTCGGTTCGGATCATAATCGGTTTGGAGGGCCGGATGATGTAACTGGTTTCGGTTTGAAAAAAACCGGTTTTTAATCCGGTAAAAAATCCGGTCATCCAATTTTTTAAACCCCAGACCGGATTTTTTTCCGGATAAAAAACTGGTTTTTTATCCGGTTTTTTTCAAACCGGTTTTTAATCTAGTAAAAAATCCGGTCGTCCAATTTTTCTCAAATCGATTATACTATCTGGTTTTAAAATATTGGTTTAAAAAAAAATCGATTTTTCCCAAATCCGGTTTCGGATATTTTTTGCACAAAATCAGATATTTGAATTTTTTGTGCACCTCTATTTTATTTCCCCTACTTCCAATGCAAACTAAAAATAATAAACTTAAGGGTTAACTATTTCAAATAACACTAACCTTTAAGCGTTTACTCGTTTATATTATATTAGTGACGTTTTAATATTATTAATTTTAATACTAACGTTTACATTTAAGTGTAATTATGTCACTATGCGGTTAATGGTTTAACGGGACAATGACATGGTAACGGTATGTTATGACGTCGCTAACATAGATGTCTTATCTAAACGACATCGTTTTGATATTTCTGTTTTAGTGCTCAAAAGATCCAAAATAATGTCGTTTTTGCTTGAATCTTAATTTTCCTAGGTACTAAAACTCAAATTTTCCCATTATATTTTTTCTTTCTTCCTCATCTTCACCAGTAACTCACTTTCTATGGTTTTCTTGGCAACCAAACATATATTTAAATCCAATCAAATCGGTTCATCATCCTTACAATATTTCAACTTTAATACCCCACTAAAATAAAAGGACTATGTTCTTTAAAGCAAAAACTTTAAACAAGTAAAAACGAACCCCAAAAAAGGCCATTTAACATTCTATTTTTTAGAGGGATTCAATATTCAAAAGCAAATGTTTTAAACCTCATTAATGAATTAACAACTAAAAAGCACAAGAAGTAATCAAACTTCAATAAAAGGAAAACTTTGAAGACAAAAAACAATAGAACAAGTAGGAAACATTCAAATATGTACATAAGTCATCGATATATATACAAAATATATACCGTAGAAATGTAGAGAGGTTACCGGAGGAGAGAGAGAGAGAGAGAGGGAGGGAGGTGAAGTGAGAGAAATAAAAAAACTTAAAAAATAAAATTGATTGATGAGAGAGTTTTAAAAGAGTCTGCAGCGTGATATGTACCAGATGCAATGAAAAAGGAGTTGTAGATGAAGATGAGGTGGAAGAAGATTAAAAATATAATGGGAAAATTTGAGTTTAGTCCCTAGGAGAATTAGGATTCAAGCAAAACGACATCATTTAGAGTATTTTGAGGACTAAAACAGAAACGTCAAAACGTCATTTATAGGAGGCATCTACTTCAACATCACGGTATGCCATTACCATGTCATTGTCCGTTAAATCATTAATGACAGAGCACTTAAAAGTAAATATTAGTGTTAAAATTGATAAAATTAAAACTTTTGTGATATAAACGAGTCAATATTTAAAGGTTGATGGTATTTAAAGTAATTAACCCTAAACTTAATGTAACTTCCAGAAGATAGGTAAAGACACGAACAGATCCAATTCAAAGTAAAACTTTTGTGAGCAGATCTGAGTCATAAAACCATGACTTAATAGAGATCTACCAATTGCTGAACATTACAGGAACTTCTTAAACTGCAAACATTTTGCGCAAAGAAACACCTAAACACCAAATCCTTTGAGAAAAACAAATGAAAAATAAGAAAACTAAATCCCAAATGAAGGGGAAAAAAGATTTAAAGCAGCCCCACAAACCTTTTTTTTTTCAAAAAATAAAAAATGTTCCACATTTCTACAAGTTCTGAACCCCTTCAAGAATTGTAACTATATCCCAATCTCCACATTCCTGCAATTTGGTCCTCCTTCAGATAAAAGTTCCTGAAACAAAAGATAGATGAAATCCCATATGTAAAATAAAAGTTGGTAATCTTTTCTTGTTTTCTTTTCTTTTGGTTTATTTTCTCACCTCATGAACAAAAGCAGACCTTTTACTGTCACCCATTTTCTCCATAGAACCTTCATTCTTGTCAACTTTTTTGGAACCAGTGTGGGTTCTCTTGAGACCCAGAAACCCCTTCCACCTTGTGGAACCCTTAGGAGGGGTCAATGTTACATTATCATCATCATCATCGTCCCCAGCAAGAAGCTTTTCTCTCAATGTCCTTTGCATTTGATTGCTGCAATTATCGTTAAATGGCAACAGCTTACCCTTAAAGAAAAGCTCATCAGCACTCATCATGGAATAGTTTGACACTGAGAATTCAAAGTCTGAGGACACTGGAGGAGATTCTCTCGAGTTCCTTTCTTGCTTCATAATCTGTTGAGTCTCAACAAAATCATTTGAGAAAGAGATTCTTGGACTCATTGGGGGGCAGTGATGATGACTTTTGTGCTCGGAATTATACATGTCTAAGCATGCCATGAGCTTTCAAAACAACATAGAAAAGAATGAAACCAAAGTAAAAATACAAAAGAAATAAATTCTATTGGGACCCTCTTAGACTAATACAACTTACCAATATATAGGGTATCAAGGGGAGTTTATGTATGTTTTTTTCTTCTTCTGAATTCATGCATGTTATGCCCATGATGTGATTTTTTTGTCATGTAATGTTAATTGGCTCTCCCTCCCTCTCTCTCTCTCTTCTCTGGCCAGAATTGGCATTCAATGTCAATGATGACCAGTTTTGAATACAAAATCCTGCAAGTAGTAGTTATTTATTTATTTTTACTGTTTTCTCTTGGACTGGACGAGGGTGAAGTTACTAAGAAGCTTTCCTTTGCTCTAAAGCTATACCATAATCTATAAAATAAAAAATATATAAACAAATAACCCTCTTTTCTGGGACCAATCCCCGTATGCTTCATTGATCTTAACACATACTTGGAAAACTTTCTATGAAGATTCCAAGAAACATCATAGAGAACATCATTCCTTCTTTAATGGGTTCTTCAAGAAACAGTTCTTAGTTTCAAGTCTTTATCTGTTTTCCTTCTACAATTTTATTACACACTCTTTAGCAACCATCATAGTTAATATGTTTGAACATTTAGTCCAATGGATAATACTAAAGTTGGTATTGGGTTATACCCAAATAGAGCTGTCTTTTCTCATTACAATTGTCATTTGGTTGAAAAGAGACTGAACCATATCTTCACAAGAATAGCATATGGCATATGGCAGTGATAAGCAATATGCATGGATGTTAGATGGACAGTTTACAAACTTAGCCATAACGATTCTCTGTTAATTATGAAGAGAATAAATAAAATAAAACCATATCTTGTTTTGTTTGTTAATGTGAAGAAATGGGTGTGATGTAGCCAGATTTAGGAAGGTGGAAACAGTTGCCATTGCTGGCACAGAAAGCAACGTCAGTGGTATTAATGGGGCCATGGGGATAAGGTTTTTGGAGTTTTAAACAAGGTAAAAATAAAGTAGTTTTGATGTTTTCAGCTAAAAGTTGTATTTTTTATTGTAAAGAAAAGAGAGTTTTTTCAGTATTGGCAGAGCGGCAGTGTGAAGTAAGGGGGGATTCTGTGGCATTTGGTTTCAGCTTGACCATGATTCAACTCGTTAGTTTTGGTAGACATCCGTTTTTGTTCGGATCGAATATTATTATTATTATTATTACTATTATTAATATTTATTTATTTTAATTACATTTTACAGGACCAAATCATTGCAAACTCGAAGACAACAAGATAAATCTCTGAGCCCAAGTGCATTAACCCAATCTACTATAAGAGAGCTTAGCAACCCAAAGCAGATTACAACAGACCAGGACCCAACCCAAAGGATATCCGACCCGGTTCAACCAATGTGTGAACCCGATTAGGGTTTCCCAACCAACCCTCTCACCAGCCGTTGGATTTGGACCCAAATTAATGGTCTAGATTATGAGCTATTTAGGGTTTTTAAACCCTTATCCAATTACCGTCGCACATCATTTCTTCTACTTCTCCAGATCACTGCCGAGCCGTTAAAGCCGAGTCACCGCCGAGCCACCAAGCCGCCATCGTCGTTATCATATGCGAACAGTCCACCGAAAATCCCACAAACCAAAGTCAAAAGAAAATCCCACTAAACCGACACATAATCCTGAAAATTACGAGATTTTACCTAATCTTTCACCTACCCTAAACTTAATCCACCACCAAGCAATGATACGCAACCATAAAGCGAAGACAGATTCGAAGAGAGAAGGATGGGGCTCGATCAGAAAAAAATAGAGGCAACCAAAGGATGAAAGATTCGATGTAGGGGCTCTCGAACGAATGAGAAAAAAGGAAAAAAAGAGAGATTCAAACCTATTTTAGAAATCATAGTGAAAAAAATAGAAAATGAGAGACATACCTGAGTTGTGGGTTCATCGGAGCCAAGTAAATTGAGAAGTTTTCCCTTAGATCTACGCTTATCGGGACTCCTTTTGGTTAAAAGAAGCTCGGATCTATAACTGGGGCAAAGGAACGTGTCAACTGTGCCTTTTTTCTATAATCTCCGACGCCGGCATACGACGGCGCCGCCGACCAAGGGCTGCCGATGAGGCGGTTGTCCACCTGTATTTGCGAGTTCTCTAAGAACTCTCTCATTTTTTCTCCCTTTCACGAAATGAGAGAATGAAACAAATGAAAAGGGTAAGTGGAGACAAAGCCTGTTGTTGGGCTTATATTTTAACCACAAAACGGCGTAGTTTGCTGGGGGGCTCAACGTGTTTTGGCATATGGTCGAATTACACTATAGGTCCTTTGCAGCTTTGTATTAATTCATTTCAGCCACCAATGAATTTCCAATAATTTTTACTTTGAGCTCCTGATTTATTTATTTTCTATTTTAGTCATGTTTCATTTTATTAAATATGTTTATGTTTATATCTACATGTGGGCTACTATATTTTTAACTTATTCATGATTAAGCATCATAAGTTTTATTGTTTCATTTTAACCATTTTGTTCAAGTTGTCAAATATATTTTAAAGTTTATGTTTTAGGTATTACATTTACCTTTTTATATTTTAGTCCTGCATGCTATTATGGCTTGTTTATATTTTCTCTACCTTTTAATTTTTTATTTGGTTTAGTCAACTATATTATTTTATTCTTGCCTTTTGATGGGAGCATATTACGTTTTTTTATATATTTCTTTTTATTCAGTACTTACCATTTACTACCTAATGTATTTATATTGGTATTTACATATTACCTTTGACATTTGCTTTTTATATTGACAGTAATTAACGCAATTATATATATATTAGATTTGTTTCTTACCTCCATATATTAATGATATATTTGTCAATACTTTTTTTATTTTTTTTATATTTTTGTTAACAATAGAGCACTGCACATGATGAATCCTTTTTTATATATGTTACCTTATATACTTTTGTATTTACGTCTTACATGTTACTTTATAATATATTAAGTATATCTTATATGCTTTATTTTTATCTGAAGAGTGTGTCCATATGTTCAAATTATTTATGTATTTTTATTTGTGTTGTTTTACTTTCATTATTATACTTTTATTTATCTATTCATTAATCTTATTTAAATATTAGTCAATATCTTTTCTTATATTCGATATTAATGCTTGTTAATATTTCATTATATTCGAATGTTTTTCAAGAACAACGATTTGTAGAATGGGTGTGGAAAGCATCGCTTGATCGAAGTGGTGTAATCTGATACGACATTTGAACAAATATGAACTTGAAATAAAATTAATTACATTTTTTTAATTATTAATTTATTTTATTTTAAGTCAAATAATGTAGTGAATGTTTCTAAATAATTATCTATTTTATTCAATGTGAAAATGTTTTTTACATTTATATTCAATTGCGTTTTTTTATATAAATGAGGAAAGAATATTCTTTAAAGATAAGAAATAGACGAATTAGTTTTCCCGACTGAGGATTTCTAACATCGAGATTTCTTTTCAAGTTAAAGAATTTTCTTTAATTAATCAATCTGAAGGATATCAAATTAATTTCGATAAATAGATCATATTTTAATTGTCGATGCGAATTCATAATTTCCATCTTTTACTAAGATATGTGAGCGACACAGTACCAATTTTGGGCCATGTGGGGTGTTAATCCTTCCCCACGCGTAATCGACTCTCGAACCCTTTAAAATGAACCTCTGGTAATGCAGACCAATTTTGTCTTTAAAAATAATTTTTCTTGAAATTATTTTAAAAGACGTTTTTAGGTATTCGACCTACCTAAGTCAAAGGTCAATGGAGACTCTATCTAATTTAATCCAAATTAATTCCAAATCACCCAATTTTTCCAAATTAAAGTCATAACTGTTTTTAAAATAATAAACAATTGTTCCACCCTAAAAAATGGTTATGACAGCTTGACGACTCTGCTGGGGACGACTTTTTTTTAGAGAGTCAGGCTGTAAGTCGTTTACCCATTGTCGTTGTGGTGGAAATTATGAGTTGAGTCTTTAGTTAACTTATGATCCTTTTATTGAAGTTTTTAATTGCTTCATTTTTAATTGTCATGCTAACATTTGAATTTTTACTTGCAGCTTAGTCCAAGTTTGTTGAGTTTTTCCGTATCTGTTTTTTTTAGTCAAAGGTAGGTACACTCCTCCTTACACACTTCACGTGCATTTGCATAACATGAGCTCTAGGCATGAGCTTTGATCCAAGTAAGTTGGGTGAATGCTTTACTCTCGTAAGAATTTATTCTTCGTATGAGTTTTAGCAAATAACCCACGGGATACATACTTTATATCTTCGTAGGGATTTTTTCCTCGTATGAGTATTAGGTAGTGAATCCTCTCGAATTGAACTCGTTCCACTCGAAACCTGTAATGGGTGAGGATCGAGGGTTTGGCAGCCCAATGGGGCACTGACATCATGGACAATTCAAGTACATTTTTTCCCGATAGAGCCGAAACCATGCATATAGAAAACCATAGAACGATCACTCTAGATATAGTCATACGGATCATCTGTCCATCAGTAGGTACCCAAACTAAGTATACACAAAGGAGGAGCGTTTCTGAACCTTTCCTTTTTGCTTTAATTTATGTTAAATAACAGTATACTAACTAGATATCATGCGGTTAGGAGTATTTTCTTGAAATAATTATTTCGGGTAGATAACATGTCTGGGTAGGAGTGTTATTTAATTAAAGTATGTTCGGGTAGATATCATGACAGGGTAGGTGTTATATTCATCTTTGAATAACATTTATTTGTATCGATTGTTTCACCTGTACTAACTAATTTTTTTTCTTTTGTTTGTGCACACTAACTTATTTTATTTCTTTTGATTGTGTCATTTTTTCATCCTTCTTTGCATTGTATTGCATCAACATGACATAATGCGAAAAATATTTATCCGCAAGGGGATAATCATGAGAAAATTTTCACAAGAAGAGATAAAAAACTTCAATCAAGTGGTCATGTACACAGACATGCGATGAGGGGTAAGAGAAGTTAAGAGCACAAAATGAGACTTGTTCGAAGATCATGCCGCAGTCGAGACTGAAGTGACGATACACTTATTCGAGGAGTAATCCAACAGTAGAGTTTTCTCTACAATCATGTCAGCACTAGTAATAAAAGGTGACACACTGACTTCAGCACCGCCGAGGCATCAGTTCCAAATATAAATATCTGAGATGAAGCAGTGGGCTTGACGATCATGCAACATTCGAGACTGAAATAATGATTCATTGATCCAAGGAATAACTTAACGGTAGATTATTATTTACGATCAACTAACCGTTAGGAGCGATGCATTGACATCCACTTAAGATGTAGCAAATGACAAACTTCATTAGATCAAGTGGGATATAGAAAACAACACTGCAAAGTGGCTCACCCCATCCCATTCCTTGAATCCTTATAAATCCCCAGTTTGCATATACAATAATCAAAGTAGCAACAAACTGTGCAATAACAAAGGCAATAACCAGTAGCAGTTCGGGACGCTCAACATAAGACTAGTTACGTGATCCATTCACAAAAATTAGAGCCTGGCTCACAATGCTTACATGTAAATATAAAGCACCCATCATTTGATCCTCCCTGTCCCTTAGAGACCTTACACCAAATTTGTCTGAGAAGAAGTCGATATCATGCATAACCTAGAAGAAAATGATAGTCATCAATGCCAGTAGCTTCCAAGCATAATTCCGATGACAAATATTTCTTTCAGTTTTTAGCATCAGGCAAGAGAGACGGCTTTACTCTGTCCTTTGAGATTGTCATGATGGTTCTATCGTTTAGAATGAAAATGATCAGAACCATAAATGGTGAA